AATATATTCCATAGTAGTTTTACAATTTTTTATTTAACTTTTATCTTCACTGTATCACTATACTCTGAGATAAAAATCTAACTGTATTCTCTTCTATATGTCTACTGTGTTATATCATTATTTATTAAATACCCGTATTTCTCGTACTAATCAGAAATGTTGTCTTTATCACTATGAAATGCGTATGGATATATTTGGGCCTCTTCTCGGTCTTTTCTGTTGAGTTGTCTGCATATTCATGCACCACTATTGGATGTCTTAACTATGTGTGGAACTCTGTAATAGTGGTAGCTTTCCTATAACTTTAGTATGTGGAAACTACTTCTTTCCTTTCTTTATTCTTCTCCAGGACTTCACTAAAAGTTTCCAGCAGAGGAATAACAGGACTTGACTTAGTGTTTCCTAAAAAGACCATTCTGGTAATAGAGTGGAAAGAGTACTGTACATAGAACAAGAATGGATTCAGAAAAAATAGGCAGGAGATCATTAACAACCTAGAAGACAGACAATGGTGCTCACACTATGGAGGTAGCAGGGCCTTAAGAAATGGAACAATGAAGCAAAGTCTCTGGAGAATACAAGGATTCTGTTTTAAGATGTGTTTGAGACTGCTGTTATTCATCCGAGTGTAAATGTCAAGTAGGCAATTAGATACAAGAATCTGGAGCTCAAAGGTCAGGAGAAGAAAAATAAATCTGGAATGAACCACCACCTAGATGGTGTTCAAAATCACCTAAGGACAGCAGGATGGCACGAGATTTCATAATGCTATTCAGAACAGCAAGTAATTTAAAACTTATGAATTATTTATATCTGGAATTTTCCACTTAGTATTTTCAGACTATGGTTAACTGTGGCCAATGGAAACCAAAGAAGCAAAAATCATGAACATAAGGAAACTACTGTATATAAGGAGTCAAGAAGAAAAAGATAATTTAACACAAAAATGAGGAGAAACTAAAAACAGGAAATGCAAAGAAAAAAAATCAAAATTTAAAAAACTCACAGAAATATAAGCAAACCTACTAGTAATCACTGACACACAAAATAATAAAACAAGATACCATCAAACAGATCAGCAAAAAAAAGTTTAAATATGACACTATTAAATGATGGAAATGAGTTAATCATTAGCTGCAAGTAGGAGTAAAACATGGAACTGCCCACTCTGTAGGGCAACCCGAAACCTAAAAATCCAAATATTTTTTGACTCAGTGATTCTATTCTTCCATTTTTACACTACAGAAATACCTATATAGGGATACAAGGAGATGTGCAAGGATATGCATTGTGATAAGAGATTTTTCATAGAGAAAAAAACAACCTAGTTCATCAATAGGCAACGGATAATTATGACACTACAGATAATACAATACTTATATGAGGCAACAGGAATGTACTAAATCTATTAAGTATCAACATGGATGGATATTTTAAAAAATACTATTAAATATTTTCCATGAGTTATCTATATGAAAGATGACAGTGATCTGAAAAGATAACACACCAAACTCACAATAATAGTTGCTTCTGGAGGTGTGAACAGGGGACTACAAGTAGTGAGACAGAGACAGAAGAGAAAGGGGGCAGAAGGGGGAGAAGAAAAGAGAAGGGTGAGGTTGCGTGTGGGAAGAAATGAAATAAGCCAAAGATAACAATGGTTAATTCAGGTGCTAAGAATACAGTAGAGGGGCTGGGGAGACAGCTCAGTGGTCTAAGTGCCTGCCTGTCCAGCACAAAGATGTAGGTTCAACCTCTGATAACACATGCCGTGCTGGCTCCATGCTGAGCTGGCTACTGAAACTGGGGACGCACGCCTGTAACCCCAGCACTGGGGAAGCTGAGACAGGAGGAGCACTACAAGTCTGAGCTGTGTAGCGAGACCCTGTACCAAATAATTAATTAATTAAAAAAAGAATATAGTAGAGTAAGGGTTGACCAACTATCAACTATGCACCAAATTAAACCCTTACCTGATTTTTAAAATAAAGGTTTGTTTTGTTTTTTTTCTACTTTTGTTTTTAATGTATTTTAGTACAGGGTCGAGAGGGTCTCACTGCACACATCGGACTCAGTGATCCTCCTGTTTTCAGCCTCCCAGGAGCTGGGATTACAGTTGTGTACCACCATGCCCAGTCTTAGTCTCTCAGTCGCTGACCCAGCATGCCCCGGGGGTGAGGCTGACAAGGCACATGGGAGTGTGGGGTGGGGGTGGGAATAAAGTTTTATTGGAATACAGCCATGCTCATTCATTTATGAATTATCTGTGTTCAGATAATGAATTTATGAATTATCTAGTGCAGCTCCCTCTGCACTACATTGTCAGAGTTAACAGAATCTCTAGCTGCAAGAGACTGCCTGGTCTGTAAAGTGCAAAATGCTGTTTAGGTTTTTATAGGAAAATCCTGCTGACTTTTTCAGTAGATTTTCTTTTTCTTTCTTTTTATATTTTACCATTTCCTAAAATGTAAAAACATTTAAGTAACCAGAGGGAGATTCACACTAACATTCCTGGACAAAAAAAGATTCTAAAACTGTCAGGGTTTTTTTTTTTTTATATCATAAGAGTACTATATTGCTTATTATTATGTTTTATAGAGTAAACTAAAAGTAATAATCAGAGCTATCTGGTAACATAATTTAAATAACTGGTGAATTACGGAAATACTCCACATGGGAAACATACACATAGAAACAGTAGCATTAAATATGAAGTACTGTCCCTGAAAAAACCTGAATAATTGAAAACTAGAATAATTCAAGACTAATTATCCCATATTCATGAAGTAGAAAAGGAATTTATTCTCCAAATACATAAATATAATATATAAAATTTTATAAGTACACATCAATATTGATGAATACATTAATATCTTAATTGTATAACTGTGTAGTTAATATCATTAACAGTACAAGAGTAATATATTAATCATGTAATTTAAAATATGATTTAATATAATATATAAATAAATACAAGTTAATTTAATGATATTTCATTAACTAATATACATTGCCTGAAGATAATTATAGAAAAATAATAATTAGAAAGTATCATCTTCCAAGAAGAGAAATAATAGAAAATTAAGAGATACTAAATTAAGACAAGCTATCTTTCCACATTATAGTGAAAGCCAGTCTGGTTCCCTACAAAACTTTGGTTAAAAAGTAAGTCTAATTCGGGATGAGCTTCTCATTTTTTTTTCCACCAAGGATTTCTTGATATACAGACACATTTTCCAACTTTGGCCTTGTCACCAAAGAACAACCACCCATATTTGGCTCATCTTCAAAAATAGTAAATGCTACTGAAATACACTGTTAGGTAAGCTAAAGATGTAGGCTAACTGCTATGGCCTTCATCCTGCTACCTTGGTATATCTGTCTGTCTGTCTGTCTATTTATTTGGTACAGGGTCTCACTACACAGCTCAGACACATAGTGATCCTCCTGTCTCAGCCTCCCCAGTGCTGGGATTACAGGGATGTGCCACCACACCTGGTTTCAGGGCCCTGTGCTTGCCAGGCAGGCACTTAAGACTGCTGAGCTATCTCCCCAGTCCTACCTTTGTATTTATAATTCTAGCCCAAGGAAATTTTTAACAATGTCTTTTATCAACTTTGTGTAAGTCTACCTTATATACAAAAATATATATCTTACACAGACTGCCCATGGGGGGGAATACTGGGGATTGAACTCAGGACCTTGTGCTTGCCAGGCAGGTGCTCAAGCTGTTGAAGCTATCTCCCCAGCTCCAGACTGCTTATTAACAGATGCTACACTGTCGCTGAAGCTAAAACCTTTTTAAAGATTTTGATAGCTTTAGAAACAGCAGATACAGCTTGCCTACTCATTTTTATATTATCAAAACCTCAATGGGCTTTAAAATTGGAAAAGCAGCCATGACTTCACATAAACCTTTTATCTCACTGTCACATTTCAAATCATAAAAAATGCTTCATGCCTGTATGAGCAGGCTTCCCCACCCCACTTATTCCATTATCCTTGCCTCGCTATAAACTATGGGTGCTATAAACTTTGTAACCTCTGGAGAGTACCTGCTTTAAGTGTTTTTGGTGCTCTGGTGCTGCTTTTGAGTACTAGCTCTAACACTGGACAGGGCATGCATTCCTAAATAATACAAGGCATCAGAACAGTGGTTTGGCCATCTTCATAGATTTTTATATCTAACTTCTGTCCAAAGTTACTGAATCGAGGGGCACACATCTTAGCACTAATACCACCATGTAATGTACATTTGAAGGACACTTTCATGATGTAAGAAAAGATTTTTAATGATATCAAGAGTAAATTAAATGTTGGGGCCGGGGAGATGGCTCAGTGGAATAAGTGCTTCCCTGGCAAGTGCAAGGGCCTGAGTTTAATCCCCGGTTTCACCAAAACAAAAAAAAAAAATACAACGAAAGAGTAAATGTTAACATTTACCATAACAGTCACCAAATATATTAACCTAAGATCTCGTACAGTATCATGGGATATTAATAAAAAATGGTTATTATATTCCTTCGCCAAAGGGCAACAATGGTGGAAATCTATAATCCTTTCAGCCTTCCAGATTTTTTTTAAAACAATTTTTTAAATTTTGGGAACATTCCACAATATCTCAAATTTGAAATAAAACACTTAGTATTATTTTCATCCTCACATAATTCAAAATTACAATGATACTAAATTTTCAAAAAATGTTCTAGTCTAAAAACAAAATTCTGAATATAGTAAAAAAGAAAAATAAGCAGCCAGATTGAATTACCAATCATTTAAAGAAATTAAGAAACCTGAACACAAAGGAACACTAAAATAAATCCAGAATATATTCTTATCAATCATGTAAGGTCAAACTGTAAGATTCAAAGCAAGAAAATAATTCAAATATTACTCCATCTTTTGTAAAAAGTAAGCTGCAAACAGAAAAATACCCAGACATATACATAAAAAGACATAAGCAGTTTTATTCAGAAAAAAATGTTAACAGTAAAACTTACATTTCCAATAATTTTTGCTGCCTCTTTAGTAGCTGCACCTGTTACAAATTAAGATATACATTATTATTCCCAGAATATGTATAACTAAGAAGTTAATTTCCTCTAAAGTAGGCAATAGTGTGAACCAAAATTTCTCCAAAAATGGTCTAAAGAAATTTTACATTGCCAGGCATGGTGGCACATGCCTATAATGCCAGGCCTAAAGAGGCTAAGGCAGGAGGATCATTGTGAGTTTGAGAACACCTCAAGCTACAAAATGCTCTAGGCCAGCCTGAGCAGCACAGTGAGACTCTGTCTCAAACAGACGAAAGAAAGAAAGAAAGAAAGAAAGAAAGAAAGAAAGAAAGAAAGAAAGAAAGAGAAATTAATTAATTTTACAGTACTAGCACCTGTGGTATCTGACAAAGATAAGGGGGACCATGTTACAGGTCAATCCAACTATATAGAATGGTATAAACACGCAAGTACAGTAAAATCATCTGCATTGTTAAAAAAGTAAATCACACATAACACTTCTTTTCCCACGAATACCACTGTGCTTGCTTAACCACTCCCCTGAGGCAGAGGGATATGATTCTTTATACATTAATGTCAAAAAAGATATTACCAGTCAAGAGTCACTTAAACTAGGTGGCGCTCATCCCTACCTTCCAGCCAAATGCCTTTCCATCAAGTCGTACCTTTTAAAACAGTCTTAGTGCTTCCTGTATGCTGGGCAACAGGCATTTTTGCCAGTGATACCACACTGGTTATGACTGGAGTTATGTTTGTTCTTGTAGAAGGGAGTGCCAGGAAAGCAGTTTGTGCCTTTGAAATATTTACTGACAAAAATAAACAAAAATATAAGTATAAACAAAAGGATTACATAAAAAAAAACACCATTAACAACCAAGTTTTCAAAAAACAATATAAAATTAACTCTGTATAATGTTGGTTTGGGGGATTCTAATTAAATTGTTAACCAGGGCTTTAAAAAGCTTTATTCTGGGGCTGAGGAGATGGCTCAGTGGAATAAGCGCTTCCCTGGCAAGCTCAAGGGCCTGAGTTCAATCCCCGGTTCCACCAAAGAAAAAAAAAAAAAAAAAAAAAAAAGTCACAAGAGTTAGGTTTGGGGCTGGGGAAATAGCTCAGTTGAATAAGTGCTTGCCTGGCAAGTGCAAGGGCCTGAGTTCAATCCCTGGCTCCACAAAAAAAAAAAAAAAAAAAAAAAAGCTTTATTCTGTAAAATTAGAAGTTTCAAATGACATATAACAAGTAAAAATAAGAGCAGCTTCAGGATTAACTAGGGTGTTCTATAGAGAAAAAAAGGCCTACTGTTATGCATGCTTTGAATAAAAATTTAATATGACAAGTTTTTTAAGTTGATGAAGGAACTGTCCATTCATGTAACATTGATATTCTTAAGCCACATTACAAAATGAATATTCTATTGCAAACCAGAATGGTCCCAGGGCATAGAGGGTAACATCAAAGTTCAGCATGAGCTGTATATAATTAAGGTAATGATTAATAAGACTGCAAAGGCAGACAAAGAGCCTGCCAGCAGATGGATTCTATCAGGCAACACGTGTTTCAGACCATGAGTGAACATAACATCAACTGTTTTTTATCTAATTCAGAAAGTGATACGTATACCTACTCTACAAAGGCACCAAACATCTATCTAGTCTTCTGAATATCTGGACCACATTAGCTGTCCTACTTGCAAAATTATTTTATGCTTAAGCCAGGAAAAACTACTACCCATGAAGAACTGGTCTATTTTTTCTGAGATAATTAATGTGTTGTTCTCTTTTTCTTTGGTGAAAAGCAAGCTACAGATCAAATCTTACACCAGTCACAAAGCTATGTTAGCATATTTATATCTTCTTCCTCCGTTTGTCCTAATTCTCTTATTTATATTCCTTGTTAGTTGAATAGTATGCATCCTGTAACATTAAATTGTATTATCTGTATGTATAAATTCAATCAAAAGCAACCAAATCAAACCTGTTCTGTAAAAATTAATAAAAGCTATCATTTGGTGATCAAAAGATTAAGTTTTTTAGACAATAGAGGTTTTTTGATTAAAAAAATAAATTTTAAACAAAAGAACTATCATTAAGGATTCTTAAAGGAAAATTTAAGGAAACTTATGCTCTTTGAATCCAATGAAATTATTATATTGTTTTCTACTGAGTATGCTGATAGTAGATCCTAGCATTAACATAAAGATTCAATTAGTTAAGTTTAACTTTACCTTTATTTTGTGATAGATCATTCATATTTTGTTGATGACAAAACTTCAAGACACAATACAGGTTACAGAAATGTTTGATATTGCCTCGCCATTTTATGGACTCACTCAGCTTGCCCTGACGTTTACAACCATCACACTTGGCCATCTGGGAAAGAAGTCATGACAAGAAAGGCTTCAAATTATAAAATAATGAGCAGATAACTTCGATCATAAATCAGAGACACCATGAAAACTAGCTATATCTGATGAGTCAGGATTACAAATATAAGGTTCCTACCTTAAATACTATAATTAAAAATAAATGTTTATTGTATATAGATTTATGCCCTAAATTGAGAGGATTATTATAAAAGATGCTGTTCTGTTTTTAAAATTACTGAGGAAGGACTAAAGACAGGTTCTATTTTTTCACAAGATTAAGAAGCATACTATACAATGAGAAGAAAGATTTGTACTAATAGTGTTTGGGCAAGATATTCTGTCCGCATCTTATACTACAGATAACCACTAAGAAGACAACAATGTACAATGTATTAATTATTGAGACTGTCCTATTAATCAGTTTTGAAACTGTCTCATTGATATTTGTTTCTCAATAAAATAAAATAAACTAAAAAATAAAAATAAAGAAGCATACTATAGCAGAAAGAATGTGGGATTTTGAAATCACAGACTTTGATTAATTTAACAAGTATCTAATAAGACATTCTTTGTCTGAAGCCCTGTGATCAGTCGTGCTAATCTAATGTATTTCCATTACCTTCTTCCCCAAGAAAATGAGATTTTGGGGATGAGGCCAAGAGGCAGTGATGTGACCAGTAAGCTCAAAATGATATCAAGCTGTCACCCACCAGCTTCCACAAGGGCACTTCCCTTCTCTGGACCTAACTCCTCTTCCTTTTGGGACTGTAGTGAGGAGTAAGTGAAACAACAGCTGGACATGCAGTACTGACAATTAATAGCAACTACCACGGTTGGCCTTTCAGAAACATTTTTTTTTTTAAAGAATTAAGTTGGTAAGGTTGTCAGTCAATGTCCTTTAACCTACGAAGTGAGAACAAGGTCTGACTTTAAATTTCTCAGCATAACCTGAATGAGAGAGCCACCTAAGGCAACGTTATGTAAAGTTCTAACCCAAAAGATTTCAAAGTTTCAAACAAGGTCAACGTGCTTCATAAAAAAGCCCAAATAAGGCACAGAAGAGCATGAAATTCCTAATATATTGAAATGACTGATAACTGAAGAGATAGAAATGCTCATACCGATTTAGTAACACACACTCTATACATTTACTGAATTGCCAGAATGTACCCCATAAATAAATACAAATTTAACAAAAGATACATAACCTCAATCAACAGTCTCCAGAGATCATAAACTCCTTTTTCTCATAGATTTTATCTTACATTCAAATTTTGCCAAGCAGCCCATATTTTACTTTATCCATCTCTACATTTTTCTTCACATAACACATTTTTCTTCACATAATTTGAATGTACAGTAAATAAACTGCATAAATTTCAGAAATCAGCAAATCACATTTACCTGATAAAAAAGAACTGTAAATTTGGACATGCACTCTTCACAACAAAACTCTTCTACTTTGCCCTCCAACCGATTTTCTACCAAATTTGGGGATGTCTGTGAGCAATAACTGCACATCTTACAGTAGTTTCCCCATCGTTCTCCAAAGTCCCGAGCAGACAGGAATTTACAAACTGAGCACAAAGAGGGATGAAAGGAAAAAGCATCAAATCCCCATTAACTTCAAGAATAGAAACTGATTTTTTTTTTTTTTATGGTCTTAGACACAAATTTTAAAGAAATGTAGATGTAAACCTTAATTTCTAAATACATGACAAGTACTTGCCTCTAGGTTAAAGAATAGTTTTTATATTCACAGAGCAAATTCATATCACCTTTTAAATATCTGGTACTTTTTTTGCGGGGATGCCAGGAATGGAACTCAGGACCTTGTCCTTGTCAGGCAGGCAGCACTGTACAACTGAGCTATATCCCGGCACCCTGCTCTAAAATATTAGTTCATCTATTTCACAAACATAGAGATATAGAAGTTTGTTAAGCCAAGTAGCAGCAACTGCTTAAATCCTGCTTTACAAATAAATGCAAGAATAAAAAGATCCCTGATGGCATACCTAAACATACAAAATTATTATTTATTTTATTTTTGTATTTCACGGAAGGGTCTCCAGGGTGTTCAGGGTCTCATTACTAGATCACACTTGTAGTGATCCGCCTGTTTACAGCCTCCCAAGAGCTAGGATTACAGGTGTGTGCCACCATGCCCAGTCTATTTTTATACCAGTATCTCTGATTTAATTCTACTTCAATAACTTTTCTTTACTACAAGCACTGCAACATTTAAAAAGACAGAAAAAATAAATCCCCAGCACTGAAAAAATAAATAAAAAGATATTTACACTAAGCTATATATCTAGCCCTTTTCATTTTTTTATTTTTATTATTTTTTTTTATTTTAAGACAGAGTTTAAGACTCTCAATCTTGGAATCCTCCTGTTTAAGCATCCCAAGAAGCTGGAATTACAGATATTCATCACTATGCCCAGGAAGAAGACAGGCTTTAAACTGAAGTATAAACCCAACATACAAATGCTCAAATTAAACCCTACGAGTGAAAAATTATTGCAGTATTAGTCATGTATTACTTCCCCCAAGTTATCAGGCATTATTTTATGTTATATAATGTAATAACATGCTATGTGGATCAAACTGAACTTTTTCTTTACCTTCACTACAGAATGGCTTATCAACCCCTGAGAATCGCACAGTCTCCTTTACAATTTTCTGCAGTTTACAGTAGTCACACATTGCCACAACTCTATTTTTCCTTTTGTATTCATCAGAGCAAGTCTTGCAACAGAATAGAAACATTTTTCCCTGCAGAGAAATAACAGTCATTGAGATCTAGCTAAATAACTGTTTATCTTTAAAAAACCTTTGTGATTCCACAGAAAACAAAAAACAGAAATTCCATTTGACCCAGCTACACCTGAACCTCTAGGTATCTTCCCAAAACAGTTAGACATTACATTACAGAGTCCAACGTATATTCACATGAGCAGCACAACTTTCAATAACTGAATTCTGGAATTGACCTATATTTCCATCAACAGATGAATAGAAAAGAAAACATGGTATTTATGCACAATGGGATGCTACCCCACAGTAAAGGATAAAGTTGAGTCATCTGCAGGAAAATGAAAGCACCTTGAGAACATAATGTTAAGTGAAGGAAATCAGAAACACAAGCTTAAATATCACATGGTTTGTCTTCTAGAAAAGCCCAATATATTATTTAAAAAAACAAGTTAAATGGGGGAATAAAAACCCTTTCTCCTCTACATTTCAAAATGAGCTGAGTATCAAAGACATGGAGGGAAATGCATCTAATGGATGCAATCCTTTCACGAAGGCACGTTACCTTGTAGTAAAGCAGCTCTGGCTTTGTGGCAAACATTTGGTTACAGTGCTGACACTTGAGTTTCACAAGTGTCTGGGCTAAAGCAGCCTTTTGGGATTGTTTAGAAACCTGTTGGCAGCCAGCTGGGGCAGCACCGCTGACAGAACTGGAAGAAGACATGCCACCACCTCGTCCTGCTGACATCACTGACCCAGAGGGCGTGCTCACAATCACTTGACCATGAGAAGGTGCTGCCGAGAGGTTCGCTCCTTTTGGCTTGTTAAATACCTTCTGAATGAACACAAACAAAGCAAGTATTGATCAACTGAGAAACATGCAACTTACTGGTTTTTACTTCCTTGTGGTAATAAATTAATTCTGCCTCAAATTTTTTTTACATCTTAATTTCTCTCATTTCTCATAGAATGAATCTCAATGACATAGTTCCAATGTAGAAGAATGGAGAAATTCAACATTAAAAGATAGAGGACTGGGGCCAGGAAGATGGCTCAGTGGAATAAGCGCTTCCCTGGCAAGCGCAAGGGCCTGAGTTCAATCCCCGGTTCCACAAAAAAAAAAAAAAAAAAAAAAAGATAGAGGACTGGAATCCAGACTTTTTATAGTTCTCTATATAACCTCTAACAAACTCAGCATGCCTTTCTGCTCCCCAAGATACCCTCTTCCTGCAAGCCCAGCACTAACCAACTCCTCATGGCTATTACAACACAGTGCCCCCAGCAGTCTCTCCTAGAGCCAGTGACATCACATTAGGCACTATTCTGTCCATGGGATCACTAAGTTCTATTTGTGTGTATGTGGATTGGGGTGAGGAGAAAATGGACAAGTGGGTTCTTCCAATTCCATGCCATGGATAGGTATCTGGCCCAGAATGAGGAAGTGATATGGGAGCCCCATCACCACACAACCTACTCTACCAATGGATAGGAAGGAGCCAAGGTGCACAATGGAAGGGAAGGCCATCTTCTGCAAGGACCCCAAGAAAGGAAGCCCAACATCTGGGCTGAAACATTTCATAGAAATGACCTCTAAAATTTTAGTTAAATAGAATTATTTTTAAGTTTTACATTTAAAATTTTCTACGTGTGGACAGCAGTCAACACTTGGCCTAAGAAAACAACACTTTGCCTAAGAGAACTTCCCAGTCATACCTGGAAAGCCACTACACAGTTGGAGCTGCAGAAGCTGTATATAGTTCCATTTGACATAGCGAGGTGATACTGAGGGATCGCTGAGGTTTTACAACTATGACAGGATACCTGGACACCTTGAAGATAAAAAAAAAAAAAAAAAAAAAAAAGAGTATGTTACCCAAGTGATCATAAATGATCCAAAATTCTAGAAGTAAACAAAAACAATGAGCCAGGCATGGTGGCACATTCCTGTAATCCCAGCACTGAGGAGGCTAAGGCAGGAGCACTGTTGAGAGTTTGAGATCAGCCTGGGCTGCAAAGAGAAAGGCCAGCCTGAACTGCATAGTGAAACACTGTCTCAAAAAGACAAAAAAAACCCCAACAACAACAAATAGTACTCAGAACAGTCAACCTTTAATATCCTCAGGACATCAGTTCTAGGACTCTCCAAGGACAATACAATCTGCAGACCCTCATTATATATATATATATATATATATATATATATATATATAGGCACTGTATTTGCATATAACTTACATGTATCTTCCCAAACATCTACTTGTATACTTTAAATCATCTCTATGCTATTTATGATAACTAATAAAATGTAAATAATATGTAAATAGTTGCTTTACCTTTTAGGGAATAGCAACAAGAAAATGTCTACATGTTCAATACAGATGCAATTTTTTTCCCTGAATATTTTTGATCTGCTAGGTTGAATCCATGAAAGCAGAATCTACAGATATGGAAGGTCAACTATAATAAACAAAATCAGCAAACATTACAATCAGCTCTAAATCTAACTACGGCAACCTCAACTCCCATTTACACAAAAACCTAATACTTACAATTATTTTTCTTTTCACATATGAAACTTTTCATACCACAACTATTTGCAGTAAAAAAAGTCAGTTCTTTTTTTTTTTTTTTAATTTTATTTATTTGTGTGTGTGTGTGTGTGTGTGTGTGTGTGTGGCCAGCTCAGCCCACCAGGGGGTGGGGCGGGCTGGCATGTGGTGCTGAGGGATTGAACCGCAGTCCCTGTGCTTTGCCAAGCCTGTTCCAAATAGGTGCTTTAGACCACTGAGCCATCTCACCAGCCCCCCCCCAAAAAAAAAAGTCAGTTCTTTAAAAATAAATCAATCTTGAATCTTAACCATACAGATAAATTTAGCTTGTAACAATATGAGATGTGCCAGCCCCGCCCCCTGGGAGTGCTGAGCCAGCCACCAAGACTGGATGTGGTGGTGCACACCTGTAATTCCAGTGTTAGGGAGGCTGAAAACAGGAGAATCACTACAAGTCTGGGCTTCGTAGTGAGACCCTATACCAAATACATAAAAAAGAAAAAGAAAACAAAAAAAAAACCGTGTGAAAGGAAAGCACTTATGATCTTCTTCAACAGTTACTAATTCTATAAATACATCAAATTTAAATATTACCTGCAGAAGTGACAGTTTTAACTCTGTAAGCAGATAAGCAATTAATAGAGCAGAAAAGCTCTGTTTTTCCTGAGTCATTGGTAGTCTCAATCATTTCAGCTGATGGCCTCAATGATTTCCCCAGAGCATATGGAGGCATTTGGGCTGAATTCTATGAAAAAAATAAAATAACAATTAGATCCTAGCACATAGGATTAAATACTAACCTAAAAGAAAAAAAGTACTACCATTGCCATTCATTGAAATACCTGAACATGATAACAAGGCCACAATAATTATTAGACTGTTTTCAAAGTTGGGGGTGTGGGAAAAAACAAGTGTTTTTCAGACAATAAAACACAAACAGAAGAAAATTAGATAAAATTTAGACTTTTTAGTGATAACAAAACACTTTACAAGTAATGAATGGGATAGTCAAAATGATTTTCTCATTACAAATACCAGAAGGAACCAGATAGTCTACAAACCAAAAGGCCATATTCAGTACAGAGCTTGACCTCAGTCTAGCAGTCTACCATCTCTAAGGCTACTTAACTCATAAGACTATTTAGCAAGAGTCAGAAATGATATTTAATGTGTATTAGGAGATTCTACAGAACTACCTATTTTTTAAGCTAAGTTTCACAATAAAATGTGCCGGAATGTGTATTTTTTATTTTGAATGTTTTGGTACAGGGTCTGCAGGGTCTCAATGCACAGATCACACTCAGTGATCCTCCTGTTTTCAGCTTCCCAAGCGCTGGGAATACAGGTGTGCGCCCCCACGCCTGTCTCAAACATAATCTCAGCGCGCACCGGGGGCAGAGATGGCACAGCTGCCTGTTACGTTTACTCAAGTTTTAATAATAATACAGTGGTCCCTCACTTATCACAGAGGTTATGGTCCAGATACCCCCGCAATGCGTGAAAATGAACAAAGTAGCAATGTTATTTTTTTAGTGTTTATATAAATTTTAAGGCTTTATAAACCCTTCTTACACGCTTATAAAACTTTCACACACTTTAAAAAATACTTCTAAAGTTCCTAACCACTTTCTAAACTCATACATCTACATAACTTTAATAACATACATATACTGCAAAATCCCGTGATATAAATATCCATAATAAATAATTTAGATTAATACTTTTTGAAAACCCAAGAAACAGTGACTCCATGAAAATAGAACTGCGAAATAGCGAGGGACTACTATAATGGCTGCCATTTCTTACTTTTTGAATGTTTACCAGGAGCCAGACCCCATTCTAAACAATGTATATATACTTAGGCATAGTTTTTTTCAGTAACACAGTGAAGCACTTTTTAAAATTACATTAAAAAAAGTTTAAATTTTATTCCCAGACAAGGGTTAGAAGCATAGCTGAGTGGTACAACGCTTGCCTAGTATGCACGGGGCCTTGGGTTCAATCCTCAGAACTGAGGGAAAGAAAAAAAATCACAATATAAGCAGAAGTAGGAAATTAAACCTATTTCACCAAACTATAAAGTTTAGGCTCCTGGCTGGGAGATAGTTCAGCAGTCTAAGCGCTTGCCTGGTAAGCATAAAGACCTGAGTTTGACTTTTGGTACCACATGCCAGGCCAGCCGGGAACCCTGGGTGTGCCACATACCCCAAAACTAGGCGTGGTGGCACACACCTGTAATATCAGTACTGGGGAGGCTGAGACAAGAGGATCACTATGAGTCTGAACTGCATAACGAGACCCTGTATCCACGAAAGAGAGAAAGAAAGAAAGAAAGAAAGAAAGAAAGAAAGAAAGAAAGAAAGAGAAAAAGAAAAAGAAAAAGAAAAAGAAAAAGAAAAGAAAAAAAAATTTTTTTTCAAGTTTTGGCTCTTTGGGGCCAGGGAGATGGCTCAGAAGAATAAGTGCTTGTCTGGCAAGCACAAGGGCCTAAATTCAATCCCCAGTTCCGCAAAGAAAAAACAAAAGTTTAGGCTCTTAACCACTACACTCACCTCTCACTGACAGACTAGATGGTCTCGCAAGACGCGAGTAAGCAGCAAGGAAATATAAATGTAAAATTGCACATATCTTCCTAGTATAAGAGGAACCTTATTTATGCAGCTGATACAATATACTACTACTTAAAAAATTAAAAGTGGAACTGACTTTTGAATTTACAACATAACATTTCTTTTCCTATGACAGCTTGAACCATACTGTCAGAAGTGGCAATTCCTGGAATTTTTTTTTTTTTTTTTTCAGTACTGGGGATTGAACTCAGAACCTTGCACTTGCCAGGCAGGCGCTTATGCCACTGAGCTATATCCCTGGCCCAAGAGACACTTTTTAATAATGAACAGAAACTACCAACTGATTAGAGAAATTAACAAATCAAAAATTTGCCAACTGAAAATTTTTACAATTTACTATTTAACTTTAAATATCGAAGTTACTCAGTAATAAACACTGTGACACATTTACAACAAATTCATTACTTATCACAATAAATAAGGTTAAAGTATTTTAATAGGATACTGACAAATTACTTCTAAGACATATTTTAGAATGAAAAAGATATGCTATCCTGAGATACACTGATTTTCTACACATTTTAACTTGCAAAATATTTCACACAACAAATCATTGAAATTGCATAAATCCTCAGTCATGAAGAGAACCTTAAAAACATGTGAAATGTCTATGTCATCTCATTCTGTAATCATCCTTATGGTAACAAAATCTATTTTTCTCCAGAGGAATTCACACAAAGGATGAAGGGATGGGAAAAGCTCACTTATTTTAGGAGTTTACTCTTTTACTTTGCAGTTCATCTCTGTGCAACCAGTTTCAGATTAAATTTAACTATGCTTGGCAGACTGATGTTCATACCTGCTTATATGCTGTGATACTTGTTGAACTAAAAACCTTCTGTGATTGGCTAGGTCCAGAGCTGCTATAGCAATAGCCCCCACAGTTCTCACAGCAGTTCATAGTGAGGTTGTTGGTGGAATGAAATTTTGAAAAACAAGCATCACTACAAAGACCGTGCACCACATTTTGATACTTAACTTCAAATCGAATCTAGGAAAGAGAAACACACACACATACAAAATAAGCAGAGCCAGTTTAAATGCCTCTGATTTTTGAACAAAATCTCAGTAAAAGTAACTTACATCAGCATTTTTCTGACACATACTGCATTTAGTTGAAGTACTATTGGTATATATGGTAACAATAGGTTTTTTCTTTAGTTCATAAGAAGACAGGCATGACTGACTGCAGAAATCTTTGCTAGCGGAAGAATTTTCAACTTGGGCTGTGATCACATCCTTTGGATTCAAAATGTCTCTAAAAATAAATAACAAAGGCAAAATGATGTAACAACTGCAACTCTTCCTCTTTGTAAGCTAAAGTACTATTTACTAGGGGCAGCTATTGTACAGTGGGATAAAGTCCTGGGTAAAGCATCCGAAAACCTGGTTTTAATCATAGTTTTTATTTCTAGCTGAGTGATGATAAGGCAATTACTGTCTCAATTTCCTCAGGTATTAAAATGAGGTTTATAATCTCCAGTTATTAGCTGTGTGGATGGAGAATTATATTTAAAATATAACCAACCAGATGCTCACAGCAAAAATTTCAACTACCAGAGTCAGTGGGACTAGATTCAGTGGCTATCCCACAACTCCAAGCCCTAAGACATGAGTCCTGTTACTACCCAATCATAGCCAAGGGTAGAAGGAAGAAGACAATAAATAAATTTTTTGTAAAAATTAAGATCTGGGGAAAGATATTATCAAAGACTAATATAAAAGCATGATATACAAAATTTAGCTACGAAATTAGAACACAATTAAATAGTTCTGTGAGATTTGTAGAGTGATTTTATTTATTCATTTATTTATTTTGATACAGGGTCTCATAGACTCATAGTGATCCTCCTCTGTCACCTGGTTTTGGGGCTGGCATGTGGTACTGGGGATTGAACTCAGGACCTTGTGCTTGCCAGGTGGTGCTTAAGCTGCCGAGCTATCTCCCTAGTCCTATAGAGCCATTTTATAAAAACTAATTATTGCAATAAGCATTGAAACACCCCAGTAAACAGAAGCTAAGTATTTTTTTTAATTTTTTTTATGTGTGTGTGTGTGTGTGTGTGTGTGTGTGTGGCCAGCTCAGCCCACCAGTGGGCGGGGCTGGCTGGCATGTGGTGCTGGGGATTGAACTGCAGTCCCTGTGCTTTGCTAAGCTTGTTCTAAGTAGGTGCTTTAGACCACTGAGCCATCTCACCAGCCCCAGAAACTAAGTATTGTTATTCTTCACACAAGTATAAAAATTGAAGGAAGCAAGGGCCAGGGATATGGCTCAGCAGCACAGCACATGCCTGGCAAGTGGGAGACTCTGAGTTCGATTCCAGGTACCAATTAAAAAAAAAAAAAAAAAGTTGAAGGAAACAGTTATAAACACTAGAGCAGGCCATAAAGTTAAAAACAATAGTGGCAATAATATCAAACGTCACAAGCATACTAAGTAATTACTATATGTGAGGCATTATTCTTTTCATTCAAATTACCCAATTTAAATATCACAATAACATGGGAGGTATTATCATTTCCAAATAAGGATACAAATCTTACTGTGGGTAAACAAGGATACCATGACATAAACTCAGGCATTTGGGGCTCAAACATTCCACTATCCTGCCTTTCATATTGTATCTTTATTATGCAAGCCTGTTTCATGATAAATATGAAGTAACAAAAATTATTTTAATTTTTCTAAAATTCACCTAACCTTAACAATGTGACAGTCTTTGAAACCAAACAGATATGTTTATATGCAGATGAAGAATTAACTCCAGAGAAAAGTAGTTTTATTTTGTTTTTTAACTAAAACAACAATATAACTTAGTATAGTAACTCTGCCACTTGTATAAGTAAATGGGAAAAAAAATAAGTAAATGGGAATGAGTTAATAGTGAAAATATGTACATATAAATACAACTAGACTAAATCTTATGTGTCCATACAAGTATTTTTCAAATGAGAGTTATGCCTTTACATTTATCTTGGGAAAAACACACTTATTCCCACAATAACATGGGCTAAAAATGTGTTTTCTAATTTCTTTGTTTTTCTTCCTTTGACTTACAAAAATCCTTTCACCATTTAGCAACATTATTCCATTTAATCACCTAATGTGCTGAACTGATAAAATACCAATTAACACATGTTGAAAAGATTTGTCACCTAACCTAGTCTAAAGGAATGCTTTACAGGCTCTGATGGCAATGGCAAACCTAGAGATCAAATTTTTTGAAAGCAATACACGTATAGCTCTTACTAGTGGTTCAGTACATGCATGGAACGATGAGGACCTGGGTTTAATCCCCAGCACTCAAGGATGCATACGTGTGTGTGTGCACGTGTGCACATGCACACATACACACACACAACTTTGTGGTAAAAAGTCAAAAGTCACAACTAATACACATCTGAATATACAAGTAATGTTATGATCTTCAAAATTTAATTCATTTTAGCCTGGCATGATGGTGTATGTCTGTAATCCCAGTATTAAGGAAGGCTAAACCAAGAGTCCCACCTAGGCAATTTAGCAAGACCCTGTCTCAAAATTTTATTTTATTTATTTTTAAAAAAATTATTTATTTATTTATTTATTTATTTATTTAGTGTGTGTGTGGACAGCTCAGCCCACCGGGGGCGGGGCTGGCTGGCATGTGGTGCTGGGGGATTGAACCGTGGTCCCTGTGCTTTGCTTGGCTTAGCTTGTTCTAAGTAGGTGCTTTAGACCACTGAGCCATCTCACCAGCCCCTCAAAATTTTAAAAACAAAGCCAGCATATCATTTTAAAAAGAAACTATACTGTATTACAGAGTGGTATGCATCTGTATTCCTAGCACTTGGGAGGCAGAGGCAGGAGGATCACCAAAAGTTCAAGGCTAGCCTGGGTGTCCTAGTGAACTACATAGGGAAACCATGGCTCCAAAAGAAAATTTTAAAACAACTTTTAAAAAGCTAGGGATATAAGGCTGGGGAGATAGCTGAGTAGTTTAAGCGCCTGCCTGGGAAGCACAAGGATCCAGATTTGATCCCTGGTATTGCATGCTGTGCCCTGCCCCCCCAAAACCAGGTGTGGTGGCATATGCCTGTGATCCCAGTGCTGGGGAGGCTGAGACAGGAGGATCACTATGAGTTTGAACTGGATAGCAAGACCATGTACCAAATAAATAAATAAATAAATAAATAAAT